CTCAATTTTATTTAGGGAAAGACCTTCTTGCACTTCTATCATCTTTGGAATTTTTATGTGTGTTTTTACTACTTCCTCCGTCTCTATAAACATTTCTTGTTTTGACTTTTTTTGGGTGGGGGGGGGGGGAGGTGTAGACGTTTGACCAAGGGTTAATGACGATAATTGATACGAGTAGGGTTTGAGAAAGTTCAGTATAGGGAGGGCGTAGAGAGTAGTTGGGATATGTTAGGTTAGATTTAGAAACAATAAGGGCATTTATGTTCATCTAGGCCAAAGGGAAATTTTATTTGGGACAAGTGAAAAATTAAAAAGGAAAGGTTTTTAGGGACGAAGGGAGTAGTATTTAGGTATTTTCTATTTTGGAAACAGAATCTGATGCATTTATATGCAATCTGTATGTACTTCTCTCATTACATTCAAGCTCTGCCACTGGGGATCTGAATGTATTTTAGCGTGCATGATTCTATATATAATTGCTCTCTCCCAAATTACCAAGTATATTTCTATAGGATTAAGTGTAGAGCCTCTTAGTTCATATTGTCTATACACTTAAAGAGTGTACAGCCTTGATTAGCGCAATAAACACTACATACAAGAGTACAAATTGATTTTTACATAAACACGCCTGTAGCAAACACGATTTGATAATAATTTTGTATTACTCTAAAATTAAGAACAACAATAACATCAGAGGAAATCAATAGTTAACCAAGCGACAAGTTCATATATAAATCTACACTTTTTGAGCATTACTTGCAGAATCTGTCTTAATTTTTGATGTTTTAAGTCATGAAATGTGAGAGTTGGACTTCATTATTCTTATTTATAGTTTAGATCGATGCATTTTGTGGTGTTTTTATGTGCAGTAGTTTAGGATGTTTCATGTGCATATGTTTGTTTTTTTGTCTTTAGAGGATTATAATAAAAGTTGAGGAATTCACATTCAATTCTTACTAGATCAAGAAGATGAAAATGAATTGAATTAGTAGTGTGTTAGAGTGGCACGCATTAAAGAAACACATACATAGAGAGAGCAAAATAATTGAAGATGTAGGGATATACGACTAGATTTGTTTTTGGACTTTGCTTACACTTTGTATTATATACTCCCTTCAGCCCTTACCCTATGTTTGGTTCATAGAATTCAAGAAAGGAAAGAAAAGAATTTTTTCCCCCTTTTTCTCGCCAAAATGAAGAAAATCATTTTCTCTCTTCTTAATGTATTTCTTTTCCCATTTTATTTTCTTTCCACTTTTCTTTTTTTCCTCTCTAACCAATAAAGAAAAGTTATTTTCTCTCATTTTCTTTTCTTTTCCCTTTCAAATTACTTGAACCAAACATAGTGTTAAAAAATCTTACGTTTTAACTATTACAGAGTTTAAAATGGTTATTGAAAAATAAAGTATATGGTTAGAATTGGTTTAGATGATAAAGGAATATTATGAGTCGTATTTATTACCAAAGTAGGAAACAGTGTGAAATATTTTTTGGGACGCCCAAAATAGTAAAATGTTAAATGTCTTAATGGTACAGATGGAGTATATATAGCTGTATTGGTCAATGTTTGGATCATGTTTACAGAGTATTATTTATTTGTTGTACTTAATACTCACTTCGTTTGGAATTCGTCCGAACACATCAGATTCAAGAAATGAGGTGAATTAACAAAAAAACACAGAGCAATGCTAGAGTCACACTCTCTACATCAATTTTTTTTCATCTCATATCTATTTCACCATTGAAGTCACCGAAAATCTATTTTATTGTAAAGATATACCTCTTAAATGTTACCTGTTTAGTATTTATAGTTAAATTATTTTAAGGTACATTGTATCAACAACAACAACAACTCAGTTAAATCCACAAGAGTAGGGTCTGGGGAGAGTGTGTGTACGCAGACATTACCCCTACTCGAAAATAGAGAAGCTGTTTTCAAAGAAACCCTGACTCAACGTTGAAAGTTGCATTGCTTTACTAATTGCTATTTCATTAATTAAAGAAGCACAGACAGTTTAGGGTACATTGTATCAATGGTACTTAAACTCCTTTTTCTATCGCAAAAATTCATTGACATGTAGCATCATTTCACCAAGGAATGCTTGTTAAATCACGCCTAGAACTACATTGGCATTCAACCATATCCATTACATGCTGAGAACTTGTAGGACCTTCAACGCGATGCCTAGATGATCCTCCAGAGAAAATAGTGATATACAAATATGGATGCTCAGCAATTTCATTCTCCCTCTGATTTTGGGACATAAGTTGTCTTTCACATTGGTCATGGCTTTTTTCTTCATACACCTCTTCATGAGCATAGTCCTAATCATTTTGTTGGAAACATAAGGAGGTGTAAGTTCGTGGGGGCATTCGAAATCACTAACAAAAATAATTTACGCAAGCAGATCAAACAAACTGTCTGTTGCAGAAGATGTTGTAGCACTATCAGTTCGTGTAACAGCCCTTCTACTAAATCATTGTAAAGATTACATCATCAATCACAATAGATTTTATCTAATGTATTGACTTAATCTGCATACAAATGACTTGACGACAAACTCTGTTTGCGTCTATCTCCATGGTTTGTTACACCTACACCATGATATCTTCAAAGACGTGTTTGCAACCCTAGTTCCAGAATCGATGTCATTAATATGGGTCGTAGCTTGTAGAAAAATTGATGGAAGGCACAACTGTACTGATAAAATTCTTTCACAACAAATATACTTTGTAATTGTCTTTTCTCCTTCGAGTAAATATATCTCGGTATTTGCTTTTCTAATGTGCCTTGATATTCTTTTCTTATATGCCAAATCAAAAGTTGTGTTGCATTAATTATACCGTAAAAGCCCTTTTATTGGTCAGTTAAGATCAATGACTGTGATTTTCCTTCTGTGTATTCTGGAGTCGTGGCTGCCCTCTTTCTTTGACCGTCTGCCAAAATCAGTTTGTCCCTTGCTCTCAATGGAAGAGCTGGATACCCAAAAAGGAAATCAGCAACTGGTTTCGGGAGGCTGCGTAATACGTTTCGGACGATGTTGGTAGCAGAGCTTTTCGGCTGCTCTTCTGTATCTGGGCCCCTTAGCAATTCTGAGCGCCTCCCTTTTTCTTCTTATTCTCATTTTTCTTTTTTTGTGAGACTTGTGGTATTTATATGCAAACTCTAAACCAGAGGCGGATCTACTAAGAGTCCCATGGGTCTCGGGATCCCACGGACCCCGATATAGGTCCAAATGTGTATTAGGTTTAAATTGAGATTCTATATAAACAAAAGAAGCATGTGACTAAGAATGTGCTGAGATAGTCTAGTGGAAGCGTTGGCTCCCCACCAACCAGGTAATGTTGTGTTCGAATCCTGGGCTGGTTTTTTTCTTGGCCAGCATGAGTACCAGTCCATTTCTTAAGGTCCATTTGGTATACAAAATTGATAGAATTGGAATTGAAATTCTATGAGATTCAATTCCATACAATTGAATTCACCAATTTTAATTCATATTTTGCACTATCAATTCCAAATTTACGTGATTTTTGTGCTACCAAACACTCGAATTGGAATTGAAGTCCTCAATTTCAATTCCATAGTTTGAATTCTGTGTACCAAACGGACTCTTAGGGTAATTGATTTTAATCTTGCTTTCAATTTTTTTTTTAAATCTTTTGAAAATGAGCATTAAATCTATTGATTATGAACTGTTTTTGTATTTTATTTAGTGTTTTATTAATGTGATTTACGAATTCAATTGATTGTTAATGTTAGACTTTATAAATTGTTTAAAGGTAAGCACTCAAAAACTTGATTAAAGGCAAATTTTTAGTGTCATTTCAATCGTAAATCTAAAATGTCTCATTAATGTTTCTCTTATAATTGAATTTACAATTCAAATATATTTGAAAAAACACTCAAAATGGAAAGAACCAAAATCTTGTGGAAGTTGTATGGATTTAATACAGAGTACTAATACTTTGGTGTCCCAAGTAAGTACCCAATCTTTACCTATTAAAAAAGATTCAAAAGTCATTTCAATTTTGAATCTTTAGAGGCTGGCTCTCTTAGGCCCCGTTTGGTACACGGAATTCAAACTATGGAATTGGAATTGAAGACTTTAATTCTAATTCTGGTGTTTAGTAGCACAAAAATTGTGTGGATTTGGAATTGATGGTGCAAAAAAATGAATTGGAATTGGTGAATTCAATTCTATGGAATTGAATCCCATGAAATTTCAATTCCAATTCAATTCTAATTCTATCAATTCCGTATACCAAACGGACCCTTAAGAAAGAAAATATTCGATGTTCATTTTAGTATTAAAAATAAGATACTTCCTAGTTATCTTCAAAAAATGTTTATAAACCTTAGTATAGTATATTTTTTTCTAAACAAATTAGTGGAAAGAAGCATATATTCGTTTTTTCTTGGTTTGACCAATTGTAAAATGTCTTTGTAAAACACTATTAATAATTATGATACTATGATAGTTAGGTTACTAAAATTGGACAAAATCGGGAGGTTGGGTAGGTCAATCTGGAAATCGGACTCCCAACTAGTTTGGGCTATCTCTTGAAAACCCCTAGAAGTTATCTTAGCGGTGAATCATTTGAGACATTTGTTTGCAAACGAGATTGGCTTTTGGCAAGACGTCGAGCTCAAGAGTCTGGGTACGATATTGATACCCAAAATTAAATGGATGCAACCATAGAGGGAAGCAATGGTTCCGAGGAATGACTTCGTATTTTTTAAAAAATTGCAATTAATTTTTTTAGGTGAGCAATATATAAGCTCTTTCGAGGGTTCCTTTACGGTTCTTTACCTCGTCGCTTTTTTTGAACCGTCAGGATATTAAATAAAGTTGTTTTTGTACTAATCAATTTTCATTGTTTAAATAACAACTACATTTTTAGATATTCTAATTCATAAAAAGTTATAAATTTCTTTTGCTTTTACACTTACACATTTATAAATTATCGCTAAAATATATTTAAAAATATGAAGGTGGAACAAATCAGCAAGATACGGTGCTGAAACGTCAATGCGGGAGCCGGCACCGGCAACATCTATATCGGTGCCGGTAACGATTTTAGAAACCATCCTAAATAGGACTAAAACATAGGGAAAAGTACCAAAATACGACTTTCATGTTTTTTTCCCGGAATAAGACTTTGCATTGTGGTAATGTGACTTTGCATTGTGGTAATGTGTCAGTGTACATGTGCAAATTACTATACTTTTTTGGTTATGTATATGACCATATTTAGTAATGTAAGTCCTATTTCGAGAATAAAAACATGGAAGTCCTATTTTGGTATATTTTCAATGTTTTAGTTCTACTATGGTCTTTCTCCCTAACGATTTCATGGAGTTGCAGTACCGGAACTGTCGGTTCTAGAACCGAGATCGGACCGCAACCGTACTGTGTCTAATCCTAGGGTGGAGACTCGAGAGTAGGGTTGTAAACAAACCGAATCGAATCGAATATTCATGAAAAATATTCATGTTCGTTAAGATGGAGTGATATTCGAATTCGAATTCGGTTCGAATATTTTTTAAGATTCGTATTCGGTTCGTTTAATATATTAAGCATATTGGGCTCGTTTAAATATTCGATTCGTTTAAATATATTCGGTTCATTTAAAAATATTCAGTTCATTTAGATTTTAAAATATTTATAACCATTTGATATATATATATATATATATATATATATATATATATATATATATATATATTGTATAATTAGATTTATATTTCGAATATATTTGTCAAACTCACGAATCGAATACTCTTGACTCATATTCGTATTCGATAAGGATTCGAATATTTATTCAAATTCGTATTCGTATTCGGATTTGAAAAAATCAAATACGAATCATCTTAAACGAATACGAATCATGAATCGAACAAAAAATATTCGATTCATTTACATTCCTACTCGAGAGTGTATTTTGGTACCACATTATTTTTATTCTTGTCGTTTCCGCCTTTCCGGACCGGCCTTAGAAGCACTAGTCAATTTGGCCTTGCTGCCCTGTATGCGCTACATGCTGTGTTTGACAGCTCAACAACTCCAAGTTGGAGGAGCTGTTACCTTCTCTTTTTTTTTTTTTTGAATTATTGAGACATTGGGGGAAAAGTTTTATACTGTTCTAGTGTTCTCGTACAAGGCTAGAAACCCACTTATAAAGAAATGAACTATACCAGCAAACTAGGGAAGGAGAACAATTTCGAATTTAATCATCTTAGTTTTATTTCAAGGAATTTAAGTATTGAAAAATTAAAATAAATTTGTTAAAATTTAAGTGGTTAAGATTTGAGTAGAAGAACGAGAAAGATACGAGTAATAAACTACTCATTATATATTTTTTTACTTTATCAGAAAAATAAGAAAATGAGACATTTATTTTAGGAACGAACTAAAAAAGAAAGTAACATGATTAATTTGAGACGGAGAGAGCACCCATTTACTCTCATGTACTCTATATACAACACTTCGACGTATGTACTTCCTTTAACCGAAAAAATATCTCTAATTAAGTTTGACACAAAATTCAAACAAAATAAATTATGCAAGTGATGTAAAAAGGTCTCTTTCATTACTAAAGTGTGGGTTGCTTTGCATTCTTTTGTAAAATGATGAACCTCATCCTCATTTTGAGGGCCCTTCAGAACTACAAATGATCACATAAGAAAAGGTAAATTAAAATTTATTTATAGATTGGTTGCAAAAAGTATAAGGGCACTGGTAATGGACATCACGCCCGGGGTGTTATTGCTCCTTTTGACGCCAAAGGGGCAGCAAACACCGCCCCCTTGGGGCTTCATAAGGGCTTCATCTCTTGTGCTTCAAATATTTAACGGGTTTCAAACCTTACATTCTCTCTTTTTAAAAAAACATACACAAACATAATTTTTTTTACTCTATATTTTTTTGTTTAATGTAATATTTTTTTTGTTTAATTTTTTTTAGTAATGTAATTTTTTTGTTTTTTTATATTTAACATACTATTTTTATTGACTGTATTTTTTATTTTATGAATTATGTCAGTTTGGAATATGTTACTACAACTCAAATTTGAATGAAGATATTTTTAGTCGCTCGAATAATTAGTAATTTCTTTGTAGTGTTGTTTTTTTATGGATGTAATATTTTTTTTGATGAATGTAACTTTTTTTATGAATGTATTCTTTTATGAATGTAATTTTTTTTAATTAATGTAATTTTTAATGCACTAGTCTCCTTTTGATTAATTTAAATAATAAATTTATTAAAATTATTAATTTAAAATTAAGAAGATGTATATTTAGAAATGTAAAAAATGAAGGTTTGAAGCCCCGGGGCTTCAAACCCATTTCCACTGAATCTGTGAGGTAAGTTAAAGCTGATGTGGCAGAGAGAGAAATTTTGAAGCCCTGGTTTGAAGCCTCGGGGCTTTACGAGTATTTCCAGTGCTCTAAGAAATGTGTTATACTTAATATAATTACCTTTTAATTTATATTAGATTCCAAAAATCAAATTTGAGTGCACTATTTTCCTGCATTATATTATTGTCTTTCTTTCTTTCATTGTTGTCAGCCTGTCAAATGCACTCCCCTCTTCCTTTTGTTGGGTGAATTCCTGATCAGTGCAATTTTTTAAAAATCATTCCCAACAAGTGAAGGTGAATCGGACATAATGGGGTACTCTTGACTTTTTTTTCAAACGGTAGATCATCTACTGTTTGGTCTTTTAAATTTTCCAAACGGTAGATTATAATTTTATTTTTTAAAGTTAAAAAAATTATTTATTTTTTTTTGTTATTTTCCTTTTCCATCATCTCCGATGGAACCAAAATTTCACTATTTTTTGGCTTTGGGGTGTGATAGAATAAATCAAAATGGATCTCTAAACTATCTGCGCTTTTTTAATTAATGAAGTAGCAGTTAGTCAAGCAATGCAACTTTCGATGTTGAGCTGGGGGTCTCTTTGGAAACAACCTCTCTACTTTCAAGTAGGGCAAGGTCTGCGTACACACACCCTCCCCAGACCCTACTCTTGTGGGATTTAACTGGGTTGTTGTTGTTGTTATTTTAAATAAATCTAAATAGATTTTTTAAAATAAAAAGATTTCATAGATTTAAATCCACGTACATATGTATTCAATGTAAACCATAAATAATTATTTTTAACATCTAGCATAATAACTAAAATGATAATCTAAAAAATGTCTATGAGTCGAAGTCATTGTCGAGTGAATGTCATGGAACTATGAATTGACTTTCCGTACCACACCGCCTACTGCGTATTTGTCATTGTGGCCGACGATGAACCAATGATGTACTTTGCTCTAAAGGATCTTGTATTTTATTCCCTTGAGTCAAGTGTGAAAAAAAGTCTTCAAATAGGATATCTGGCGGAACTCAGGGCGGTGGAGCGTTTAGACTCATTAGAGTGGATAACCATAGCCTTGATCTGGACATTATGCATCATGCTTAGGCTCTGATACTAAAGATTATGGGAGGAGCTTTGTTTACGAGCATTAGTTAACACTACACAGATTGGAGGGTCACTTGTTCTACTACAGATTAGGGCTTGGGAGCACATTCCAATGTGTAGACCACAGGTTCTATTACACTTGGATGACATCGTTGGAGCACCTTTTCAGTGTTAGGCAATGTATTTCGTACATT